CCTAGTGTCTACCGTCTCGTCATCAAATTTATTCAATACTGCTTCGGGCAGTTCTCCTGCTTCTAGTTGGTTACGGCGAAGGGCTGGCCACTTGTTTTTTTTTATTACACCCATTGCTCCGTTGACTAAGCTATCAGAGACCGCCATTTTTCTTCTCAGCATCACCCTAGAGCCTATCCCTATTTTAATGCTGTGTAACAATCCACTACAGTTGTTAACATCTACAGGAATGACATTATGCGGAGGCAGTTTACCATTTCAGACGTCTCTTTGGCAAGACGTTCTTGAATCTTAGCGAGTCTAGACTCATACTGTTCAAGAGTTTCTTGACGTGAACGTAATTTTATATAATATTTCATAGCTAACAAAACGTTCTTCACGATCTATCTCTGTCTCACAAGAACGTGAACGTTACTTGGGATCTATATTATTTAAGGTGCGCTGCACCTTTCGTAGGCGTACCCATAGCTACTTACTATTTGAAAACTAAAAAAATTACTATTAGATATATAACAATACGGGTTGGTCTGGCCAGCGTAGTATAGTAGGCCAAAACCTCCTTTCTAAGGAGAGGCCTATGTCCAGCAGTGGACTAGTATAGGCTGTTGATGTGTGATGTGATGTGATATAACAATACGGAATGTTATAGTTTACCTGATGTAATCTAGAAAAATCCTAATGTAGTTAACAGAACAACCTATTTCAGACACTAAAAAGTAAAAACTAAAAAAAACTACGTTTAAAAAAAACCGACTTCAAAAACTAAAAAGTATAAAATAACTTAATAAAGATTAAATTTAATACACCTCTTATGCAAACCTTTAATATTAATAAAATACTATTTTTTGTATGTGCTACATATTGATAGGTTTGAAGTCGGTGCCAAGCCCTAAACAAAATAAAACTTAATATTATAAACAACTTACTTACTGTTATGAAATTTCTACACTAAAGATTAACCTACGTCAATAAACCTAAAGAACAATGTGAATTAATGTGAAACAGATGAAAACTTTATTATAAAAATATATATAATATTATTACCTGGATGAGTAACTATAGCTATATTAAACCTATATTATTCGTATATAGGCCAAAACCTCCTTTCTCAGGAGAGGCTTATGTCCAGCAGTGGACTATTAAAGGCTGTTGATGATGATGATGATTCGTATATATGAATATATTTGTGGCCCTGAAAAGGACCTTTTGGTTTGCGTATTGTGTGACGAGCACACAACACGTTAAGTAATAATGAATACCTACAATTATGAAAACAACTTGTATATTGATAACTTGATAAATTATACACATCTATCAATTAGGTAATAACGCATCAAAATTTTACTATATTTCGAAACGACCGTCAACGACGTCTGCCCGCTTGGGTTGTTTTGTTCTATACGAAGCTATCCTGCTCAAAGTCACGCGTGACGAGTGTAGATACCTTCTATTACATTTGGCTTGGCACCGAATTGAAACCTATCAATAGGTAGCACATACAAACAATAGTAGTTTATTAATATTAAAGGTTTGCATAAGATGTGTATTAAATTTAATCTTTATTAAGTTATTTTATACTTTTTAGTTTTTGAAGTCGGTTTTTTAACGTATTTTTTTTTATAATATTTAAATGAGGCCCGGTTTCAACTGTTTCAAAAGTAATTTTGTCTTTTTTTCACATGGTTTTTTTTTGGCCAGGACTATAAGTACCCCCAAATCAGGTTTGCCATTATTAAACAGTTAAAGGGCCCTGAATTACTTTTAAAATGGAAATGAATCCATGCTTGTGTGATGATGTAATCATAATGTTTTTATACAGGTACAAAGTTTACATGAAACGAAAACTCGCAAAATTAATAATAGTCTAATATAAACACTATCAGAATGTTTAGCAGATATATCGATACGATACAACAAACAATGAAGGCCTTCAGATTAACGAGCCCGATATTGTGTTTCTCCTTATCGAAGGGTGTTTTATTCGTGCATAACTTTTATTACAACTTTTTATATCTTTGGTTGTATACTCTCTGAGAGGTTTTATATTATACTAAGAAATAACGAAGTGTGAGTAACTGCTGCTTATTAGAAAAAATATGATACGCTTGCAGAGAGTTTAAGGCATATAAAACAAAATCTAAAATGATAGCATTTTGAAAGCAACCCTTCCCAAAATATTGCGTTTACATTGTGCGTCGGTCTGTTAGACGTAGCGGCCTCACAATGTAATATTTGAAGTACGAGTAATTGGGTATGAGTAAGTTGGGTAGTTTTAACGTTTTAAATTAAATTTCATCATTTTTTTATTATTCAAACATTTTAATATTACGTAATGTTTCTGTTGAATAACATATTGATCGCATTTTAATATAGTCAACTGTTTCATGAAGTGGTCTTTCACATGGTCGGGCCAGACTAATAAGTACCTAAATCAGAGTTTGACAATTTAAACAGTTAAGAGCATGATTACTTTATGAAATGATCAATCGTTAGTAATTATACAGTGAACTCTATCCTCTGTTGGGTAAAATCGTTTTGTTTATGTGACGTATCAAGGCGGTAGAAAATAATTTTGTTTTACGAAGGCGTAATAATTTTTTTTAAATATAAGAGGCAAACTAGCAGACTGGTAACCTGATGGAAAGTGACTACCACCGCCCATGAACGGCTGCCACTCAGGAGTCTCAAGCGCATTGCCAGCCTTCGAGGTAGGAATAAGCTCTTTTCTTGAAGGTTTGAAAGTCGTTTCGGTCCGGAAATATCCCAGGTGACATAGTGTCTCACAGATTGGTTGGTAAAAAAACTGAAGTTAAATGTAGTTACGACAACTAAAATGTTGTACATATATAAACTTTTAATTAATTTAGAATTCTTGTTAAACCTTTTATATCATAAATACATTACATTAATTATATGGCCAAACGTGAATTGATGTATCATATGTTTGAGCGATAAGGTCCGTTTTATTTGAACCCATCAAGAAAAACGAATGTTTCATGAAATGGTCGAACACGTCTACGGCTATGTCATAATATACGAGTATGTACCTATACGTGAGATAAGATTTGGTTACTGTCAGTGACTGACTAATTATTTTCGTACTCAATATGTAGAACGTGAAATTTGAAATTTTTTTTTGTTATGCTAGGGTGCATTCGTGCATTCGGGTTTTCAAATTCCGTATCTAGCCTATCGTTATTGGATTTTGAAATTGATTTTGCGGTATGTAAAATCAAAGAGTCTGAAAACTTGTTCAGTAGGCGAACTCAAACGTGGCTATCTATTCGAATAATTTACGTAAAATGTTGCCAAGAGAGACTATAATAGCTCGTACTGTCAAAAAATTGTCAGATCACATGTTCAGCCAAACTTTTAACTCTACACGCTCTGTCTCTATAAGCCCTAACTTCACAATCGGAGTCAGATTTTTCATAGCTATCGTTCTACTCTTAGCTTTATACTCGTACTTAATTAATACTCGTATACTTTAAGTACAATAGAAGTGCTGTGAGAAATAATTATAGATGGAGCAATAGGAAGATAGAGGTATTCCGCAGTGATCTTTCTACTCATTCGTTGTTTTGAGAAAGATACTTCAGAACACAAACCACCGTTACACACAAGTATAAAAAAAGCGTTGATATCTATTACTCGTATTTGTACTTCTTAAAATATATTTTAAGTCTTAGAAGTAGATCTTTTTTTTATATAGTTACACACTCATTAGGAATTTTGATGTATAGTCTTCTAACCATATTGTACTCGTAATATGTTGTCTAATGTGTGTAAATACTGTAAAATTTACTCACATTTGTTAAACTAAGGATGTGTTAAAATAAGATAAACTTATAATAATCATTTAATCTTGTGAGTTTTGGTCACTGACTGATTTTAATTTAAGATTTGTTTTTCTAGATCTCAATACATTTATTGGTTATAGCAAAGTATATGGTGTTGTAGAAAAATAATGCCAAACTGAACTGATAAGCTAAAACACCAACATATTAACCCTCTTTATGCCTGCTAGCAAAAATATATTGGCTTTATTTATTCCGTACGCCAATATAGAACTCATGAAAAAATATCTCAAAGAATAAGTTTGACGATCGATACTTTTAATTAATCCCGACCTACTTTTTTAAGACTTAAAAGATTTTTTCATAACAGATTTTTTAATATTATAAGGCTTCTCTTAGAGTTTGGTAACTTGTCTTGACTAATATTTAATAGTTCGAGTACATTAAACACAGAATATGGATTTTCTCAGATTCCTGCTTATATTAAGATTATAACTTTCGTCTATCCAAGTACAACAATATATTTGTGACAATGATGTTTTAATATTATAATATTGTCATTTGTTGTTTTATATATTAAAGTATGAAATTTGTTAAAATATGCTGCTTTTCTATACTTTTTTTAAAGACAGCTTCGGTACTGGAATGAATCCTGTGTCGCGGGGACACAGGATTTACAAACATACAAGAAACGGACACAAAAGACACCCAGGCTCAGAAAAAAAATTGTGGATCACACAAAGTATTGTCATATGTGGGGATCGAACCCACAACACTCAGCGCAGTAGGAAGCCGTGAGGTGACCGCTTAAACCATCACGAAATCCGTGCAGTCAAAGTACTTGTTTCTGCATCATCGTTTCAAGAATAATTTCGTAAATTTTAGCTATGACCAATTTCGACCTCGTCACATCGATATAGGTCTATTCGTTAGTAAGCTTTGAGGCTATATACAGATAAAAGGATACACAGACACAACACTCTTAAAACTTATGAATACCCACTTTTTAGATGGGGGTTATAGAGTCGCAAAGGAATTTTACGAGGTCGAATCATTCTGTATAAATATCTATTATAGATATCGTATGTTATTAAATCGCTTTACAAACATAAAAGGATTTCAACCGTTATATTTTGTGTTTAATGTCAGATTCAATTGTTTACCAATTAAGAAAGGTACAAGTCGATAAACAAGCTAAATAAACTAACCTTTTCTCTCCCTGCCGCCATCATGCCTAAACACTATAGGCCGGTTGTGTTCTCTACGCCACATCACAGTGGGCGGCGGAACCCCGGTAGCAGTACACGTCAATCTTATACTGCCACCCTCTTGTGCCGAGCTGCCCTCCGTGACCGAGTCCACTATATCCGGCGGAATTACCACCGACAGATGACCCATCTGGCAAAAATAATTACACTGTTATCCAGAGGGAAAACATATAAGAAAGGGTTGAGTTATGTTGTAGTAGTTTGGCGAGTCACATTGCATTTTAATAATATTTACTAATATAGCATTTATGCATTATTGCGTTAAGGTTCTGGATTTGACTTTATGGTTTTTCCCGTAAAGGATCGAGCGACTTTCAAAAAGTTTTTGATGTGTCAAATTTAAATGCTATGTTAGCTATAATACTGAAAATATGCTGTATGCGAAAATAAGTAACATTGGTAGCATGCTGGTCGCTTTGCCTATTATTGTTTTTACAAATTATTATAATATATCTCACACATCTTACATACGGAAGTGTGATGCCAAACTAGGCAGAGCCTGTATAACCAGACTGCTGATGAACATACTTATATATTTTTAAATACACACATATTATAGATAAATTACACCCAGACACTGAACAAATGACCGTGCTCGTCACACAATATTTAGCCGGCTTAGCAGTCAGGGTCACTAACCACTAGACCAACAGGCAATAATATATCTATCTTATTATTGGCTTTGATCTGGCGACCTCTTAAATTACAAGAGGGACATACTAATACTCGACCAATAAAAGTACTACAATATCAGTCCCGCTTCTGATCAGAGACTTACTTATACCTCTTTTGCCCCATTCGTTTACTTTACCGCAATATATAAAACTCAACGAAACCTTTTGCAGTATTACACATTGCGCCGACTCTTCATAACACTGGAAACTTATATAGTATATCTTTTAAAATTATATGCTTCGTTTATCTTATGAATTCTTTCATATTTTCAACGGTCAATAAAACGCTTACGCAATTGTATTTCATTCTGTGTCTTTCCATTATTACCTAATCGATCAAGGTGTTCATAATGAAGATATGATACATATATAATATACGCGATCGTATCAAACAAAGAACAAGTGATACGCGTTCTTTCATTTAACATATCGATGAGGACATTGATAGCACATGATATTTGAGGATTAAAAAAGGTTTAAACTCCGTTTTACTAACAACAATAAAAAATCTTTTTCTTTTAAGGATTTTGGTAATCGAGATTTAAGACTTCAATATTCGAATAATTTAATGAACTGTCGAGTATCAGCATATCCGAAATGTCATCATTGAATGATGTGCTGTATAATCATGTAATAGATGTGGTAGCGTTTCTAATACGCTCGGGAATAAAGATTTGATTTGTGAAGGGTAATGATAGTTTAGTAAACCCATTTATTCAAGATAATTGAAAGAATAGATTGTCATTTATGTAAAGACGTGCCCAACTTGATTTGTTAATTCGATCAGTTGGATAATTTTCTGTGATGAAGATTGGAAATACTAAAACCACTGAAGTATAAAAGGAACTAACTATTTCGTTGGGCGTTTTATTTTTATTTTATTGAACAATATAATTCAAATTGACTGCACGGATGGCGTAGTGGTTTAAGCGGTCACATCGCCGCTTCCTAAAAAAAATGTTGTCGATATGGCACATGGCATACACACCAAAAAAATGTCTTCATAAATTCTTATGTGAGCTTTGGAAAATTATGGGAGCAATGTCACCACAAATTGTTGTCTTTGTGACAAACATGTTAGAAAATTTTGGGTTGCTGACTAAATATTTAAAGAAAATTTACTATCTACTATATATATGAAAGTACGTAGATTGATGAAAATGTATCATGCGATGAGCTAAAATATTGTATACCTATATTAGATATAGGGTATAATAATATTTATAAGAACATATGGTCTATATAAATAAAAGTATTCTATTGGACAGTTTAATGTTGTGTCGAAATGTTTAACGAAATTGCTTACCTGACTTTTCATTGGATCTGTGTTAACTTGGCACATGTACGTGCCGGAGTCATTTGCTTGGACGTTGCTCACGTGCAGTTTCCACGTATTGTGGTTATTGTACGTGACGCTGAGACGAGGATTTAAAGCCACCATATTTGTGTGTATAGCCAAAATCGCCTTCGAATCTGACTTAATCCACGCCACCTAAAACAATGTTGTGATTATTTCACTGTTTCGCTAAGCTTTCTTGGATTTTCTATTACTTGGTACAATTATAAAAATATTGATGAGACACTACCAAGTAAATTAATCTTTATAGAAATTGTATTCACATCACAGATCATCCTGATCAACAACCTTTAATACTGGACATAGGCCTCTCCATAGAAAGGAGGTTTTGGTTTACTATACCACGCTGGCCAGACGAGTTGGTATAGGGTTTGTGTCAAGTTTTCCTTCTCTTTACAGTGCTGTTGTTCTGCGTAATTTGCTCTCTTAGTCGGCTCTTACGACACCCACGGGTTAAATCGGCGTGGTGACACTACGTATTCTTAATACGTCACCGGTATTAGTTTTTTTCATAGAGTCAAAATAATAAAAAGCGATTGTATCAAGCTCTCTGAAATTATATTTAACAATGCAATTAGGACGGTGTCAAGGAAACAAAATGCTCTTCCTCGTTGCATACGAGTGTGAAATTTCATTTCATATTCAGGATTAATGTCATAAATTGCTCGTATTTCCCTGGGGCTCTTGTAAATTATAAATCGTTTGTATTGTTCACAGTTGAGAAGAAACTTAATGTGACTTAAACGCTGTAGCAAATGTAAAACTGAGAGTACGACACGTGAAATTGTAGAGTTTCACACGAGGAATGCAGGCGCCTCATCCGCGCCGCTCCCGAGCATTTTTCATGTGACATCTCGCTTTGTTGCGGTTGGAAAATAAATTAGTAACAATTTCATTGTTTGCGAGAATTATTCTCAGCGTGTTTCAACGTAAGTATCGCTAGTGCTCACTGGGTGAATGCGCACTCTTGTCGCTACTACCACTACTATTTGCAATCTTTTTGTAACTAACTCCTTGCCTATTATTTTAATTCTGGTTTAACGTTTAAATATGTTGTGTAATTAGTAATATATATTATATTGTATTTACTTTTACGGTTTTCTTGAAATTGATTTTTAACTACATTTTAAATTCCATACTAAAGCTCTTACCGTAAAACATTTCGATTACCAAATATCATAAATTTAAAGTTAGTAAGGTATAGATTTTTTTACATTCATACGTACATATTTACGTCCATAATTATATGGACATCCAGATTTACAATGCAGTAGATATAGGTAGTAAAGAAAATGACCAGGCAATAAAATTAACGGCAACTGGACGCTCATAAATTACACTCAAGTTCACAATAGTGTTACGGGTAGAATAGTTGGTACAGAAATTTTGATGGCTTTATCGAAACGAGTTATATAAAAAATTGGATCTATCTCGACATCGTTTTTGTGCAATGGTATTTTACGATTTCAAATGTGGTTAAAGATCGGAAGAATCGAAACTTTAAATTGCTTTTGTAGACGAAGGCCCCTCAAAAGCAATTGTGTACCGATTTTTTAACATATTTAAGCGAGGTCAGCAAATTTTGGCATACAAAGAAAGAAGATGGTCCTTTATCGGCTGTTGCAGAAAAAAAAATGACAATATAAAAAGAAAAAAAATTATAGAAATTTGGTGAATCAAGTATAAAGATATTCAGTGTAAATTACGATTAGTTCAGAAATAATGGAATATTTTTCATGAGCTTTAGTAGTTTATTAGATTACGTAATTAAAAATTGTATTATCCAGTTCGACCGGTAGTTCTATAGTACATTTATTTTATTGGTTACGCGAAATTCAGATTTAGCATGACAACTTTCTAAACGACAGGCAGGGGCATAATACAAAGGAAGAGATTTTAGTCTCAGTAGCAATGGTGAAATAAGTGGTATTTTCTTCTTTTAAAAAGCAATGACTTAATCTCGCATTAATTATTAGTTCGCTATAATATGACATCGTGGTGGGTAATATATCGTACATAAATAACGCATAAGTAGCTTATTATATTATGTACTATAATATCAATAAAATAGGTAAATGTAGTATTACCTAAGTATACACAAATAAAGATACTAATTGAAATAAAAAGTATTATTTTGTTCATAGGGAAATAAAAGATTCAGGTCTGGTGAATGGCAGTCTATCATCTCTTCCTACCCCTCACGGGAATAAGGTATATGAATATGTATACATGTTTACAATTAAATAATCCTCTTACTTCAAATTACATGTTAAAATAGTTTGAAGTAGTTCGAGTTCATTCTAGTCCTTTAGAATTAGACAGGGCTCTATCTAAATGTAGAAATCAATATGTCAAATACACTAATCTGTACTTATTATTGATATAGACTATGTTACATATCAGCATAATAAGTATCTATCTATAAATATGCAAATACGAAACAGATATATCTATTTTTTTCTGTTGTGTATAAACCGTTTTTCTCTTTTCAATCAACAAAAATGTAAAATAATACTCATATTCTCTGAAGTAAACCGTGAAAAAACCCTAAGACAAATAGATGTACGTAGTTTAACTATAAGGATTTCTCATTAGGGCAGCGCAATCCTCAAAACGAAATATATTAGAGCTTACAAACGAAGCGTTTCATTATTCAAAGATAAATTCTTTGTGAAAATAATACAATACAAAAATCAATAAATTTTCTCTCATATTATATGTTCATGAAGTTGTAAAAATAAAATGTAAGCTTAAGCGATCTTAAGCTTAGGTACTCAGGTTCAGTGTTATCACTCACTTCACTTGTTTTACCTAATAGTGATATACGGTCACCATTTCCTGCAGTAATTGACTAATTACTATAGGAAATAGTTAAGGAATCTTAATACTAGTTCCACCAGTACCACTCATTCGCACATACCATAAGAACCTACTAACAATATACCTACTGAATGAAAACTATAGCGCTTGAAATTTTGTAATTATTTGCCGTTTGTTTTGTAAAATCGCATTTTTTGCAAAACGGAACTTAAAAGTTCAAAATATTTGATTCAAATTATTGTAACTGTTGTAAATTATAAATATAATACGATATGGTTCGTCCAAAGTTTTTATCGCACTTAAATATGACATGGTTGGAAAAAGCGAACAATTTAAAGAATGTTCAAATTAAGCAATCTCACACCTACATTCAGCACTCAAAATCCAATAAGAGTGGCATCAATATATTTGAGTCTTATTGTGTGTGTGAGCTTTTTTCATTACCCAGGAAATATTAGTATTACAAGGTCATATATTATTAGGACAAAGGGTGTTTTCTAAAGGCGATATTGCGAGTATAAGGTGCCTTTACGCGAATAAAGGTTACGAAGTGATGGAAAAACATCAAGACTAAAACAGTTTATGTGTAAGAGACAAATTAACGTTTCCGTGTACGGTTATATTCCGATAGAGATAAATCACTGCTAAATCAGGTGAAGCAAAATGTCATAATTGAAGCTAAAAAACATAATAGATATAATAAATCAGGATGTTTTTTTTTTTACATTTCCATATCGTATCCTACATCACATTTACACTGAAGAAATTAATCCCAAGCATTTTTTTCTTCTATGTAATCCAAAATTGAGTAGTAGTCTTCTGACATAATTTACGTTTTATTGCCTTCTTGAATATTATTTGGGGTTTTATTACAAAATCAGACACATAGTCCCCGAAACGACTTGTTTATCTTTTGGAGCCTAGAGGCAGGTACTACAAGTTTATTTCTATTTCTGGTATTTGTCAAATGTTCACCACTCTTTTTTTAAAAACTATCCTTGTTTTTATGAACAAATATTACATATTCATATATATATATTGACATATATGCTACTGTCATTGTGTTTATTTCTGTAAATTTCTGCCTTAATGAAAAACAATTGCCTGCAATTGCAATTGCCCAAAAAAGGATCGGTGAATTTCGTTTTAAGTGACGTTTAATAATAAAATCTCTACTTAAAATTAGTTTTAAGACTAGATTCACGACTGAGACACCTTTTAAAATACGGGCCTTAATGATCTATGAAAAAATTAAAACGTGCGAGCAAATAAACTCATTGTCACATACGTATATATATATTTTTTAGTGTGCATGTATTTATTAGAAAAAATTCAGATAAGAAATTTAATATAGTTAGTGTTTCTTTTATGGCTATTATTATCAAGGGAAAATGCAAGGGCAAGTAATACTAATATTCTATACTTTGGTATTATCAAGTCAAAGTTCTTTATACCTATTTAATATGGTATTTTACAAACGTTACATATGGTCTGAGAACGTTGGACATTGTACAATTTTGGTATGGACGAAAAATTATTAATATTTCGCAAGCGCCCGCTTTCAGAAACATTTTACGACTGAGCTTTTGTAGCTGTAGTCCTGACGACAAGCACGTTTGTAGAAATCCCTATATTTTTCCTTTTGCCGAATGCAATTTTGAAGATTTATGTTACTTTTTTGCAAATAATGAAAATAAAGATTCTCTCTCTTAAAATTTCTTCCGTTTATATATGTTACCGTTAGAATACAAAATACGTTAATACGCACGTTTACTAGGTTATCTGCAAATTACCGGGTATGGTCCGTTAAAGTAGGAAATTTTACTTAAAGTGTCTCGTTTTCTCAGTCACCCTGCACTTACACCTGTATCCATGTCAACCGCGGGTTCCGGTATCCAAATCAATTTCGATGCACGACAGACACTTTAAATTACCGAGAATTTGTAAAAACAACTGACATAATGAAATCATTAAACAACTGAAACTGCACGGATGGCGAAGTGGTTTAAGCGGTCGCCACGCCGCTTCCTACTACGCCGAGTGTTGTGGGTTTAAACCCCACATGGGACGACACTTTGTGTGATCCACAAATTGTTGTTCCAAGTCTGGGTGTTATTTGTGTCCGTTTCATGTATGTTTGTAAAGTCCCCCGCGACACAGGATATTTTCCTAATGCGGGAGTTGTCTTTTTAAAGAAAAAAAAAAAAAAAAAAGACTATAGATTTCCAAAGGGTTCTTGATTCGACATTTAAAAAATATTTTCATTGGCTGCTTTTCTTACTGTCCCAATCTAAGAGCTGCGTGGGTCATACTGA